CATACACAAAGACACACGCCTAAGTATGTAGCGTCGATATTGCTTTATGTGTGTTTGCCTCGTGTTTACTTCTTTTGGCTTCCGCATTTTTATTGCTCTCCCAGTCACAATCAATCGCAATAGAAATATAGATGCTTCGGCAATAATAAGACGTCTACGAATTGAATCATGCCAACAACAACAAATCAAGCAATCAAACACAAACCTATGCTATGTCAAAGACCTGTGCTAACGACAATCCTGACAAAGCCCAAGACAAAACTGTTGTGGCGCACTCCTTGCGCTCGCCTTTCCAGCGGAAACAGGAAGTGCGCGCAAATAAAAGTGTGCGAGGAAATATACGCTTCAACGTTTGTGTGTGTGTTTCTCGTAAACGCGTGTGTTGGTGCGTTTTCGTACATGTTGGTCGTGTCGTGGTGTCGCGGTGTCGACATTAGGCAACCACAATTTTATTACTATTTAAGTATGTTGTGATTTTTATTGTCGATACATTGCAATTGCGTAGATGTGTATGTAGATGTGTGCGGCAAGGGTGTAGCCATTAGTAGTACATGCTTATTATAAGTGTGTGGGCTTGTACGCAGCCTGCATAAATATCAGTATGTGGGTTTACCTTTATTTATTTTGACATGTCATTGACTCGCAAAGCTAAGCGTGTTTGCCGGTCCCCCACAAATGGCTGAGTAGCGTTTCATCCTGTGCTGCGTCGCAGCAAGGTGCTAATATGCTGTCAGCCGCATTCTACGCTTGCTTAGGGGTTGCTGTTTATTGCGCCCATGTTCGCAAACAATTTAAGCCAAAATTTCCATCGTGCCCATATTATTAGGTTATTTCCGCTACATAACCTATAAGTCTGGTTTGGTGGAAGCGTGCTGACAGCTGTTCGACATTTTTTTTTTTTTTGTTTTGTTTTTTATTGTACACATGTATTTCCACTGAAATTATTTTATATATGATACTTTATTATCTATAATATTTAAGCAATTTACACACGTGGAAGTTTTGACTCGCTTAACCTCTCTTCAGATGTAGTCGCTTAAACTGTGTGTCAAAGGGACTTATGTCCTTGTGCCATCAAAATCGTAGGAATAGCTGGCTGGGTCTCCTCACATGGCTGGATTAAATTGATACTATGTCAAGTGATTATGTAGAATAATTGTTGGCACAGTTCTTTAGCGTGCTGGCTCTATATAAGAAAGGCTGCCAGTGCGGCCGGCTAGTACCCGTGAGACTCTGTTAAGTTGATCTACCAGGGCGGCTGGCTAGTACCCGTG